GAAAAGAATGAGTGGAGTTTCAGTGTCATGTTTCACACCAAGTTAACATCTATTATATGCCGTGTCTCTGAAGAATCTTTCAAGTTCAATGAAATGTAAATCGGATTAAGAATTCGAAGTAACCAAATTCTCAGAAGTATTTCATAACGGATGAATATGAGTGTTCAGTTCAGATCTGTCCCTCCTCAGAACTGCAAGAATGCAAATGTCCACAGCGTCAAGTCAATTTGCATGTATGTAGTATGTTGTTGTTTCCGGATATATCCATCTCTCCTCAAAATTCCAACCCCCGCTGGTCAATGCAAATGGCCACAAAGAATGAATCAACGTATAATTATTTTGAATTACATGTGAATCTATTGAGTGTCTGTTGGGATTCACCCTCTATTCACCACCTCCATTTGTTCTAATGATCATTGACAACAGGACTGGAAGTGTAGGAAAATCTAAGAGTTTGAGTTGTCACTTGTACAGGAATTAGGGCTGTTACTGATTAAAATTTTCGTGTTCGATTAATTGAAATTTTTTAAAATCGATTAATCGATTAATTTCGATTAATTATATCGCACATACAGATTCAACTGCATTGGCCTTTACATACAGCACAGCAATGAAGTCATAAAATGAACTAGGATCACACTAATCCAGCACGTTATTAATCTCACGTGCCCCACTCAATATGGCCACCGCTTGAGTGGGGCAACTCAGAATAATAACGCGCTGGATTAGTGTGATCCTAGTTCATTTTATTACTTCATTGCTGTGCTGTATGTGTATAGGCCAATGCCTTGGCTGGCGCTCGTGCAGAAAGTTTCTTGGGCAAACTCACCGGCCCAAGTGGCTCCGTCGGCTAACGAAGGGAAGGGGGGAGGAGTCAGGTGACGTCACGGACATTGACGTCACCAGACTCCTCCTCCCTTCCCTTCGTTAGCCGACGGAGCCACTTGGGGACATCGACGTCACCGGACTCCTCCCCCCTTAATTTGCCGACGGAGCCACTTGGGGACATCGACATCACCGGACTCCTCCCCCTTCCCTTCGTTAACCGATGGAACCACTTGGGGAAGGGGGGAGGAGTCCGGTGACGTCGATGTCCGTGACGTCACCGGATCTCCGACGGGACTCCCGGAAGCCGGCGGAGAGGTGAGTATTTTCATTAGCGATCAAAAAATTTTTAATCGATCATAAAGAATAACGATTAATCAAGAAATTAAGCGTTAATTAGCACAGCCCTAACAGGTATAGAGGGATGTATCTGCCAATGGAGACACCTGTGCTGGTGCCAACTGTCTAAAGTACACACGTTGTGTTTCGTACGAACGTTCATGTGAACAATCTGGACAGAACATTCGATAATGACTTTGACGACTTGATGGATTTTGTTTAAAATTGAATTTGTTTTTAACATTTGATTTAGGAATGAATGGAGATTCTAGAACAGAAATCCCATTCACTGTTAGAATCTTGTTCATTGCTCCTTAGATTGTTTTGACCACGGCGTTGGACAATAATCATCAAATTGAGCCAATTAACTATTAGAACGTTGAACAAAACACATTTTTTGCCAACTAAATTCTAAAGTTGAATGGTCAGCTCAAGAGGAGATTTCCCTTCCTTTGGAGAGATTTCCTATAGAAAGTGAAGGAAAATATGCTAAAAAAAAATGACAGGAGTTGAACCCGTTCCTACTTCATCTGACTCTATCCTAAATGAAAAATAAAAAAGAGTTTGGTGTTACATAATTGTGAATAAAGTGTGAAAAATCTGCCATGTAGTGAAACGAGACAGAAACAAAAAGAAACATAGCTACTAACACAAAAAAATAAAAGACTTTTCTCTCCGGAGCTACTGTCTCCAGATCAGGAGATCTCACACATAAAAAGATATCCGATTAGATAGAACGAGTCCAGAGATGGGAAACAAAAATGGTGAAAGGTTCTGAGAGATAAAACATATCAGGAGAGACTACAGGAACTTCATATGTCCAGTCTGGAGGAAAGAAGGGAAAAGATGGACATGACTGAAACCTTCAAATACATGAAGGGTGTGAAGAAGGTTCAGGAGGATTTACAATATCAAGTGAAGATCAAGAACACGGGGACATGACCTCAAACTATCAGGAGGAAAGTTCTATCAGGAGGAGAGTTCAACCTTAGAACCTTAGAAAGTATTAATTTACTGAAAGAGTGATCAATGCTTGGAACAGACTTCCACCAGAAGTAGGGAGTCAGTCAACAGGAAGTGCATTTACACATGCTTGGGACAGACATAGATCTATACTCCGACACAAAGAGAAAAATAAATAAAAAGAAAAGAAAAAAGCCCAAAAGGCTTGAAGCACCCCTTGGTCTGTTGTTGCCTTCACTCTTCTATGTTGCTAGTTTTTCATTTTGTTGTGACTACCCTGTTTCCCCGAAAATAAGACCTACCCCAAAACTAAGACCTAGTACCATTTTTGGGAATTGCTAAAATATAAGACCTACCCCGAAAATAAGACCTAGTTGTGACCATTCCTATGGCCGATGGTGGCATAAATGGGAACTTGAAGAGCCGCAGGAGAGAATCAGTGGTGCCAATGAAGGCAGTGGTAGAGGAAGTGAGGCGGCAGCGCAGGGAGCAGAGCCGCATAAGCCGATGTTTCCTCTATAGCGCCGGCTCCTGTCACAGGCGGAGTGATACCAAATGCAAACCGCCTGTCAGGAATCAATAGTGAAAGCGCGCTTCGCTCATTCTGGTTACCAAATTGGAAAGGTGTGGCACCCCTGATTGCCCTGATCACCATATTCTTAACTTTGCCATTTTGGATTATTTAATTTGGATTTGCATTAACTTTGGATTGTTAAACATTAAAAAAAAATAAGACCTACCTCGAAAATAAGACCTAGTGTGTTTTTTTGAGCCAAAAAAAAATATAAGACAGTGTCTTATTTTTGGGGAAGCACGGTAGGAGCAGTGTCCCTATTGTCTAATTTAATTTGCTCTAATATGTGATCTTTTGATCATTGTTCTTAATTTATATAATAGGACGCAACACATTTCACTATTTGAAAAACAAACACCTAGAAGTGCTTCTGTAACTTTTCAGATGTGCTGAACTCCACCCAGACTATATCCATTAATAAGTGATCGTAGTAGATGAAGGGTGACATTAAATGGCAACAGTTGTGCCATATCAACAGATCAGCAATTCATTTTACCTATTTATAAATTGACAAAATAATTCATATATATATATATATAAATAATGTTTCAGGCCTTGATCTGGATGCACGTTGATAGCTGCAATATAACAAATATTTATTCAAATTAGAATAATTGATGGCATAATGGTGTTAACTACTCATTAAAATATGTATTCGATATATTGTGCATGTGAAAATTGTTTTAAAACTAAAGTTATGTGTCCTTGGCACAAAATAATGAATATCGGCAAGATGTAGCCTTAACAAAACCCAAACCAAGAAAACAAAGAGAGAAAGTACACAAGTTAGACTGAAGTGTGCTAAAGGTTGATATAAATTAAAGTAGTGCTCTAACTGAGTGCTCTGAGTGCCCATAATATCTTTGGCACCGGTATTGGAGCTTCTTTATTCCTGTTGCTTGCAGCAATTATTTTTTTATTTTTTTGGAACCAAAATAACAAAAACACTCTTCCGAATTTATGATAGCCATGCTTTAAATGTATTATCTTATGTTTTTATTACACTGCAGCTGCGGTTCAGTATTGCCTGGAACTCTCCACAATTGGTGAACCATGGGGAGAGAAGGCATGGCACGGCGAGTGGAACTTTGTGTGCCCAACAATGATAAATAAATATGCTGTGTAAGAAAAATAACAATTATATATATATATATACAGTATATACACTGAGTTGCCAGATTATTATGACCACCCCATCAGTACTTCGTTGGGCCACAATATGACTCCACGAGATGACTTTGTTGGGCCGCCTGGTGACTCCACGAGATGATGAAAGGTGATGCGAGGAATCTGACACGGCACTGTTACCCTTCTGTTGTCTTGTACCAGTCTTGCCCCTCCCCCGTTCTGCCCTAACATTGACTAGTCGCTGACGGCCGCAATTCGCACGCTCAGACCCAGATTTTCGGCTGACAGTCCGGTCTTTAAACATTTTAACAATGAGCCCCTCTTCAACATTTAACGAATTCTGCTGTTTTGCTGATACTCGCTCCATGGCTCCGAGCGCCAACAATCATCCCGCGTTCACAGGCTGTTATATCTCGTTGTTTCCCCATATCTTCAGAAACAAATCACTTCTACTGTCGTGGTTACCAACCCGCTTCCCTATTTATAATGGTCTGGCCCTCTAGCAACTTCAGCGCCAAATTATAGCTAATTTGCCTACAAACGCCAGGTGGTCATAATAATCCGGCCACTCAGTGTATATATATGTATGATGGATAAAAAGCAGTAATAAATAAAGTTTATACTAAAATTAGATATTTATGTATACTGACAAAAGTCATTCTGATCTTTGTGTGTTTATAATTTTATACAGAAGGGAGGATAATGTAAAGTTAAAATAGACCCAATGTTTTTGTAATTAGTAAAAGGAAAGAAATGTCTTGCAATATTACCTTATCTATCTATCTATCTATCTATCTATCTATCTATCTATCTATCTAGCCATCTATCCATCTATCTATCTATGATCTATATTAGGCATGTGATATACAAGAAATAAAACACTGTATGCACAGGTATACACATTGTATATATAAGATAAACGTAGTATATGCATATAATATACACCCTGTACGCATATGATATACACTCTTTCAGCATACGGTATACACATTGTATACATAACAAACTCCTTCACACCTCAGAACTGAAACTTTATTCAATGGAGAGAGAAGGGCCCTCTGCAGTAAGCAAGGTGTCGCCCCTTCTGGTCACAGGGGCATCTACATAATAAAGGACAGGGTGGGGTTCCTTGGGAAATATGTATTTATCTGGCTGCCCACAGTCTCACAGCACACTTGACAAGTCATGAACTACCAACTCCACCTCTGGGATCCCCTCTACAAGCCAGGCCCTGACCCCCACAGCATGGAGAGGATCCTGGCCGACAAGGAGAACAGCCCTGGGGAGGCCAAGGGAAGCCCCCGAGAGCCCGACTCCACTGATGAACCCCGCAAGAAGACCAAGAAGAAGAACTACCAGCGCTACGCCAAACCGCCCTACTCCTACCTGGCCATGATCGCCTTGGTCATCCAGAGCGCCCCCGACAGGAGGCTAAAACTGTCTCAGGTAACCTACCCCCCATGATGGGGCTTCTGGGGGCTTTAGTGCAGCCAGGGGTGGGGGGAGGGCTACATAGAGACCTGTTTAGATTAAGAGCCTGTCACAGGGCAAAATTGTATTTTCAGTTCACAATTATTTAAGAAGAAAATTAGCCTCTTGGAGGCCCATAAAGGCTGAAAATACGATTTTGCCCATTTGTAATAAAAATTGAGTCTCAAACACTAAAGGGGGAATTGTCAATTTTTATTTTTTTTTAACATTTTTTATTTTAATCTCTTTTATATCTGCAGCATAAGAAACCCAAATTTCCACAGGCTTCATTCTCCCCAAATTTGTAGATAAATAAAATATTATCAAAAGCTAAAACATTTTCTTTTCCAATGGAGAGGGGACGGGATTTTGCTGCTTTTGTATGGAGAATTATCAATGAAGTCCTTCAGCTGTCTCTACATGTATTATTTACAACTATTATCTCAAAACAATGTGGAAATAAAATATTAAGTAAGAAAACAAAATCGATAAAAAATAAAATGAAAAAGAAGAAAAAATACATAAACAACAAAAATACAAAAAAAAATGGTGGTGTATTACGTTTTTTTCCATTTTTTTTGTATTTTTGTTGCTTATGTGATTTTTTTTAAGGTTGTTTTTTTTCTTTATATTTTATTCCTTTTTTTTAACTGTTTTTTTTTTGCTTTATATTTGCTTTACATTCTAGCCTTTTTTTTTCTTTACTAATGTGGGTTTTTTGCCTTTTCTTTTTTTTCTATTTTTTAATGATGTGTGTTTTTTTTTGCTCTGCAGGGAGCCGTAAGTGACAGTCACGGCTCTCTGCAGGAACAGGATTGAGAAGGGAGCGAGCGACAGTATGTGTTCACTCACTTCCCGATCTATTGAGCCGACCTGTGACAGTCATTGTCGCACGTCGGCTCCAACTATGAGGACGAATGAAGATCACTCACCTCATAGTTCTCCTTTAAGCTTGTCCTCAGATTACATAGTTTTGGTAATTCCAAAGGAGATTGTACAATCAGATTGTATAGTGTATATGCATCCTGAGCGTCTCAGTGCAGGTCTCCTTAGCAGGGGGTCAGCAGCGGGAATGGGGCCAAATCTCACTTGTACAATGTAATAGGTATTATGTATTTGTGCTCACGGTTATCCTCATTAACTGACAGCTATGTATCATCCTTGCAGATCCTCCATGAGATCAGCACCCTGTTCCCTTTCTTCAAGGGGGATTATCAGGGCTGGAAGGACTCCATACGACACAACCTCTCCTCCAACGATTGCTTCAAAAAGGTAAGGACTGGACGCCGGTGGTGGGGTGATGGGGGGTGGGGAGTGGGGAAAATGGCCTGCCGTTCGGCCAGCTTAGAATTTCCCCATGGGCTCAGTTGAGCTGAAGCATATGCCTTCGGCACGACTGAGCCCCTCGGCCAACTTCGGGAGCTGTACGGGCTTTAGTGAATACAGCCCGTACAGAAGCCCTGAACCGAAGGGGTCCTAGGGCCGAAGCTACGGCTAGATCCTTCGGCAGCTTTGTGGAAAAACCCCCCGTAGTAATATATAAATATAGTAATCAAGTATTTACGAGGCTCCACTGTAGCCACTCCAAGTGTTTCCTGTATCCTGTAAATAAAGTTGTTTCTGGTCTGTTGGGGAACTCTTTAGAAAAGATCAAAATCAATATTTCAACATTTTTCGTGGGATTGATCAATTCTGACATTTTTCCTCCATTTGTAGAGCTGCTCTAAAAATGTTCTCAAGTTTGTTGGCCATATTTTGTTAAATTTAAATTTTGTAAATAAAATATTTCATACAAATTTTTATAACAGTAAAATTCCTAAAGAGAGGAACTTCCCTTAAATTGTTCTTTTTAAGTTTATCATTTTTTTTTTAACTTTACCAGCTTCCTCTTTTTTTTTTTTTTATCTCCAATGTTTTTATACATCAGCAATGTACAGTAACTTTACGATTGAAACATTTCTGAACTGAGAATGGCGGTGAAAGAAAATGTAACAATTTCCCCCGATCTTTATTAATGGGACTCGGGGAGAATTATGTTACATTTCACCCAAACAGCAAAATAACTTTACTGATTATTTTTATAGGATCTCCTAATGTGGGCTCTGCACCTCCAGTATGTTGACACAAGAAGGCTCCGGTGTCACTGGGTGAGGTGTTGGGCCGATTGGGGGGTCACAGTCCCAGGTGATACAGGCATTGTCCCGGGCGGGCCCCCCTCCCCCTCCCCAGTATGTCACAGCAGAGGCCGCTTCATTTGCAATCAATGTCTTTAAAGGAAAATCTTCATGTCAGAAACCCATAACAGAGCCTGAGGGCAGCCATTGTATTCTCTCCGTATGGCCGTCTGTGGGCACGCCACCCACTTCTCACATCTACGCTTTGCTTTTATAACTTGTTTTTTTCACCCCCCGCCATCCTCCCATCACCCAACATTCATCATACCCATTGCTCCATTATACCCACCCCCAGGACCCAGTATCGCAGGGCATTTTTGAAGGTTTTGGTTTCTCCCTTTCAGCATAAGGTATTGTCTTCTTCCTGAGAGCAGGGCATTGCCCCCTCCCCAGCACAGGGCATTGCCTTCTACTCCAGCACAGGTCATTGCGCCCTCCCTAGCACAGGGCATTGCCCTCTCCTCCAGCACAGGGCATTGCCCCCTCCTCCAGCACAGGGCAGTGCCCTCTTCTCCAGCACATGGCATTGCCCTCTTCCCCAGCACAGGGTATTTCCCTCTCCTCCAGCACAGGGCATTGGAGTTGTAACTGGAGTTACAATTTAATAAAGTTTTAAATAAATCAATATTACAATGCTCTGCCCCCTCCTCCAGCATATGGAATATCCAATGTTTAAATAATTTTATTTAATATTTCTCATTATTTACATATTTTACCAAATGAAATTGAGGTAAATTGGGGCAGATTTGGGGAAATAATTTTCCCGATCATTATAAATGGGCCACTAGGATTCGTTGGTGTGATCAGTAATAGATTTGTGTGAATCTGCTTTGCCGGCCTCTAATGTCTTCTTCCTCTTCGCAGGTCCTGAAGGATCCTCTGAAGCCGCAGGCTAAAGGCAACTACTGGACGGTGGACGTGAGCCGGATCCCCGCCGACGCCATGAAGCTGCAGAACACGGCGGTCACCCGGCAGGACGCCTACCCTCATGACCTGGCTCCTTATATACTGCACGGACGGCCCTGCAGACCTTTAGACTTCCGCCACCCTCAGGTTTCAAAAGAAATCTCTGCAGTCAGACCAGAAATGGAGGCCCCTCCCCCGGCACTGACCCAGTCACCATGCATGGACCCCGCCGTGTCCTTCCCAATGATCTTGTGGAACCTTCCAACGTCATACTCAAAATGCGTGGCCCCTAACGTGGTGGCCCCTCCCAGCATTCACCCACTCCTGCTTTACTCCAACTTCCCCTCTCTCTCCCTGTATAACTGCATGCCTTCCCCGTACTCGAGCCCTACCTATGCGGAACGGAGGGACGGCTTCTCCCCCAGCATGACATCACAAATGCCTCTCCCGCCGAGACCCTCTGAAGTCAGGAACTCTCCGGCAGACTTCCCTCCCAATAAAACGGTGTTTGACATCCCGGTGTATCCCTCGCACGCGGGCTACATGTCACCCCAGAACATGTACGGGCAGCATTTGGCTCAGAGCGGGCCGATCCCGGGGTACAGACCCGCCGGTTACTGACTGGCTAGACATTGAGACAAAGCTAGTTTTGGGTCGTTCACTTAAGTACCGAAGCCTAGCTGCACTTGAAGCCTTACCGGATGACGTTGGCACCAAACACGACACATGGCCTAGTCCAATGGCACTGGACCCTTTGTATATATCACAGTCTTTTTTTATCTTGTGTTTCTTTATTCACTTTGCTAATAAATTTGGATATTTTTTTACTGAAGATGTCAAAGTGTTGCAATTGTCCACATGCGTATCAAGCTTACAACTTGCAGAATACATTGTATAAACTTTGTGTCAACTGTTTATTTCTTAAAGGGCCAGTACATACCAAAGATATTTCAGTATTTGTTGGATGTTGGAGAGTTAAACCCCCTGGCAGGACCAAAGTTGGGATGGCATGTGCCCCGGATGCTGCTTTAGGAGTGGCGCCACTGGTGTGTGGATGAAGAACTTCTCCCTTTGGGGGGGCAACTCTGAGCCTTTCAGAATATAGAAAGAATCTTGTTGCACTCCTTACCGGATGCCCCAACGACAGTGGAGGGTGCTTGTAGTGACTGTGGGTGGCACCGCTGGTAACAGGAATCAATTGAAAAAATTTCACCAGCACACCAAAAATCCTTTCAGGGCAACCATGTGTTCATTTAATAAGAACCATTTCAAGTAAAAACAAGTGCTTTTGGGGCCACACAGGGTCCCTTCATCAGGCTTAACATTGACAATGTTCCTTTAATAAGAATCATGCCAAGTAAAAACAAGCGCTTTCGGGGCCACGCAGGCTCCCTTCATCACTTGGTTGGCCTTGCGGGAAACAGGGTGACAGAATGTCTAGCTTCCCCACTGCCCCCTGGTATAGTCTTCTATCCCCCCCTGGCTCTGCACATTTGCCGTGCCCATCAGGAGGGTTTCCCGAATTCCCACCATTCCTGCAACATTTACATTTATTCTATACTATAGACAATGTTACAGAAAGCGGTGGAACACACCAAGGTGGGCAGGGCACCACAGGAGGAGGTGGACAGGAACAAGGCTGGGAATTATGGCTGCGAGATCTCATTGTGGAAGCTTTATATTACTATTTATCTATACAAGATATCAGGGCCTGACATGACCTAGAACTAAAATATCACCTTTGGGTGGACTGACCCTTTAAATTAAAAACACTGAGAAACGCGTATCCGAGTGAGCCGTCTGTCACAGCAACCAACAATCACAATCAATATTTTTTTTATATATTGACTTTTTAAAATTCCTTTAGCTGCATTTTCCCCAATTGGTCCCGTTGTCACCATTTTTATCCCGCACTCTGACCACCGTCGCAGTAAATGGGCCCATTTAACACCTGTTATGTCATGCGTTAACATGCGGTGCAGCAAGGCAAGCCCATTCAAAAGGATAAATCAGGCCCAGTCACTGAAATGTGAATCAGCTTTATTTCTTTCAAGATAAGTCTTTGTCATTGAAAACATTTCTCCCCCTCCTCCTATACATACGAATAACTACAAATATCACCATAGAGACGCAAAAGTGTGATGAAGAGAAACAATGTATCATATCAGCAAATGTACTTTTAATAAGGCAGTTGAGGCGATTGTTTTGGGCCATTGGTAAGGTGAGGGTCACATCTGTTTAAAGTGTACCTGTCTTAAGTTAAATCTTCATAGGCTAACCTGATAGGGTGATAGCAGAGGGCACTTAGTCTTGTACCTTCAATGAATAAGGGCCCGCTTACATTAGTGATCAGTGGAGTTAGGCCTCCTTAAGTTGGTGATCAATGGGGAAGGGCCCCTTACACTGGTGGTCAGTGGAAAGAATGCCCCCTTACATTGGTGGTTCCTGGACAAGGGCCCCCTGGTGGTGGACAGAGGTGAATTCTGCTCTTACATCTATAGTTAGTGGAAAGAATGCCCCCTTACATCGGTGGTCAGTGGAGAAGGGCCCCCTTACACTGGTGGTCACTAGGAAAAATGGTTACTTACATTCGGGTTCAGTGGAGAAGGGCCGCCTTGCATTTGTGATGAGTGGACAAGGGCCCCCTGGTGGTGGACAGTGGTGAATTCCGCTCTTACATCTGTGATAAGTGGAAAGAATGCCCCCTTACATTGGTGGTCAGCGGAGAAGGGTTCCCTTACATAGGTGGTCAGCGGAGAAGGGTTCCCTTACATTGGTGGTCACTAGGAAGAATGGCCCCTTACATTGGGGTTCAGTGGAGAAGGGCCCCCTTGCATTTTGTGATTAGTGGTGAAGTGGCCCCTTACACTTGGCTGGGAATGTTACAGGTTACTTGGTGGGTAACGCTCGGGGCACAGCACACAGCTCAGCATAAGACATGATGTCACGTTTATTAGCATGCAGCCATTTGGAGTCCCGACGCTCGGCTCCCGGGGGCAGCTTGAAGGTGAATTTCTGGAGCAGAGCGGAGAGGAGAAGGAAGAGCTCCATTCGGGCTAAACTCTCCCCGGCACACACACGCTTTCCTATGGATGAGAAGAGGAAGATTTGTGGATGAGGCAGACAAATAAATCCATATGAGCAACATGGTTGATTTATTCCACTGTGTAATATTTTATTAACATTTGCATATACATCCAAATAGAAGACTCTAGTATACTATATAGCAGCGATTCTCAACCTGTGGGTCGCTGTGAGATTTCTGCTGTGCTAGGTGAGAGTCCTCCTCAGCCCTCTCCTAGCGCAGCAGTGTCAGTTCTCCCGCCACGCCGCCAGATGTCGCTGCAGCAGACTCGTCGTCACTAAATTTTACCGTTGGGGGTCACCAGAACTTGGCAAATGTTACCAAGGGGTCCCGGCCCTAGAAAGGTTGAGAACCACTGCTATATGATACATATGACACATATGACACGTATTTACTATTAATTCCAGGCATTTGTCTGATATTTGTCAGCAGTAATGAGCAGAAGGCTGAAGAAGAATGGAAGACAAGTGCTGACTGAGGAGTCAATCATTGGATCTCCATATGGAGCCACCAGCCTAATACAAAGCCTTCGCCACCGCTGGTTCTTTAGGTTCCCATGTCCTCCTCCTCACCAATCCCCAGTAAGCAGCAGCTGGTCCTATGGAGACCGCTATGGATCACAGACTGGGGAATGGATTTGGTGTAGGGAGCTACGGGCCAGAGATGGGGGGGGATTGGATTGTATGGAGGCTGCTACAGATCACAGATTGGGGGATTGGATTTTATGGAGGTAGTTATGGATCACAAACTGGGGGATTTGATTCCGTGGAGGCCTCTATGATACACAGACTGGAGGATTGGATTTTATGGAGGTAGCCATGGATCATGGACTGGGGAACTGGACTCTGTAAAGACCGCAATGGATCACAGACTAGGAGACTGGATTTTATGGAGGTAGCTATGGATCACAGACTGGGGGAACGGATTTAATGTAGGGAGATATGGACCAGAGATAGGGGATTGGATTGTATAGAGTCTGCTACAGATCACAGACTGGGGGTTTGGATTTTATGGAGGTAGCTATGGATCATGGACTGGGGGGTTTGGATTTTATGGAGGTAGCTATGGATCATGGACTGGGGGTTTGGATTTTATGGAGGTAGCTATGGATCATGGACTGGGGGTTTGGATTTTTATAGAGGCCACTATAAATCACAGACTGATGGACTGGATTCTGTGAAGCAATAAAAAGAAGAATCACCGGCACCAGAGGCGGCTCTAGAGTTTGCGAGGCCTTAGGCGAAACCTAAACATGAGGCCCCACTCAGGCCTGTGGGGTCTCACCGGGCTGTCGGGTTTAACCAGGATGGTGAGACCCCTGGTGAGACCCAGACTGGGGGGTTTGGATTTTATGGAGGTAGCTATGGATCATGGACTGGGGGTTTGGATTTTATGGAGGTAGCTATGGATCATGGACTGGGGGTTTGGATTTTTATAGAGGCCACTATAAATCACAGACTGATGGACTGGATTCTGTGAAGCAATAAAAAGAAGAATCACCGGCACCAGAGGCGGCTCTAGAGTTTGCGAGGCCTTAGGCGAAACCTAAACATGAGGCCCCACTCAGGCCTGTGGGGTCTCACCGGGCTGTCGGGTTTAACCAGGATGGTGAGACCCCTGGTGAGACCCCTGGTGAGACCCTACAGAGCCCTGGTTAAACCAGGGCTCTCACATGCTCTCCACAGCGCTCTGCACGGGGCTCTCCTCAGGGCTATCACCTGCACTACACAGGGTTCTCCACAGGGCTCCCATCTGCACTACACAGCGCTCTTCTCAGAATTCTCTTTAGGGCTCTCCAGGCCGCCACTTACCAGCACTGTGGCGGCCGTGGCTCGGAGGCGGGAGCTGGCAGGAGCGTGCAGGACCAGCCGGCGCCGCCGACGTCTCCATCTGCTGTTAAAGATAAGCTCCGCCCTCCCAGCCAGAGATCCTCGTGCGGTGGATGGGAGGAGTGAGGTCTCTTCTCATTGGCTGGTGGGCGGAGCTCCAGAAGACAGTGGATGGACCGCACCGATGATCGAGGAAACGGATGAGCTCTCAGCCCTGTCGCTATTGCTCCTGTCAGTTTGACAGCGACAGGGCTGAGAGCTCACAACATTACCTGGCTGCGAGCGAGGTGATGTGCCGTTCTGACAGGGCAAACTAGGCGGCCACAAGGCCCTCGGGAGCGCGAGGCCTAAGGCGACCGCCTAATTTGCCTAATTCAAGAGCCGCCTCTGACCGGCACTGTAACATTGAAGCAGTACGTCTTTTTATTGACAAAAGTTCACATTATCACAAAGCACACAACTTTTCAGGGCCGCATTGGGGTCCCTTCATCAGGCAAACAGTGTGAAGTAGGGAAATGGCGGATGCCATCATACATTTTTAGATAAATAGGGATTTTCATGACACCTTGGTGAAGTGATAATCTGTAACACCTAAGTGCCCACCAAATATTAGGTGTTAGTTTCAGGGACACTGAAGAAAACAAAGAAGAATTTACGAGAGAAAACTGGTTGGAGAAAATGGAAGTCCTTGCAGGATTTCTGATCTCCAGCATTCTGCCATATCATGTCTTTTCCCAGAACACACCTCCAAACTGTCCCTCATTTAGAACCAAATCCCCCTGTCCCTCTTCCTCCTCAGTTGTCCCTCTTTTTTGTCTGATGTACAGATATCAATGAAAATGTACTATTTAACTATCAAAAGGGGTTTAATGTAATAAAACAACCATCCCAACCTATTATAATTATTAGACATGTGCACTGCCAAAAAATTAGTTTCGTTTCGTTTCGTTTTAAATTCGGATTTGTGTTATTTCGTTTTTCGGGATTCGGGTGTGAAAGTCAATTCGGATTCGGAATTCGGATTCGGACGAAATTCGGTAGCGGTAGTTCGTTCGAACGTTCGTTTCGTTTTCGTTTCGTTCATGCGTTCGTTTCGTTTGCAGCAAAGTGACATTTAAGGGGGGAAATGTTTTTCTCCTCTAATGTCACTTTGCTCAAACGAACGAAACGAATAAGAAACGAAAACGAAACGAATTCGCACACGTTTAATAATTATCTTGCGTGATATTTTGAAAAGCCAGTATAAAGGGAAAGCAATGGTGGAAATCAACAATTTGGGCTTTTAACAATAATTTTTAGCATATAGAATCTTAATGGTCTGAATAACTGGGTGTGTGGCACCTGTGTGTCCATTTACTAAATACATGGTGCTAGACCATGTCCATGTCTCTCATCTCAGAAAGTTGGGAGGTATGCCAGAATAAAAGCCATATCTCACCCAACTATACTATAACGAGTGGCGTAACTTCCACCATAGCAACTCACTGGGCGGAGACAGGCCCGGTCAGGACGTGGAGGAGGCAGGGGGCCCTGCAGCGCTAGTCCGGCAGTGGAGGAGAAGGCTGGGGCCCAGCATTGCCCGTCTGGTGGTGGAGGAGGAAGCTGGGGCCAGCAGCATGTGGCTGACAGGTAAGAGGAGCCACTTGTACGGGGAAAGGAACCCTGACCACCTACCTGAGACCCTACAGAGCCCACCATAGAGAGTCTTAGGTGGGCTGCACAGGATCTATGGTATGTGCAGGTTCTCAGGTGAGCTGTGCAGGGTCTCGGGTGGGCGGTGCAGGGTCTATGGTGGGTTGGTCAGGGTCTTCGGTGGGCTCTATGGGGTCTCAGGTGGGCTCTGCATGGTCTCAGGTGGGCTCTGTGGGGTCTATGGTGGGCTCTGTGAGGTCTATGCTGTGCTCTGGGTGGTCTATGGTGGGCCCTGCAGGGTCTCAGGTGGGCTCTGCAGGGTCACTCTCATGTGGGCTGTATGGGGTCTCTGGTATGTGTCGGGTCTCAGGTGGGCTCTGTGGAGTCTATGGTGGGCAGTGCGGGGTCTATGGTGGGCTCTGTGAAGTCTATGGTGGGCTCTGCATGGTGTCAGGTGGGCTCTGGTGTGTTGTGCGGGATCTATGGTGGGCTCTGCAGCAGTGAGCGGTGGACTGATCTCTCTTCTTTGGCTCTGACGTCAGAGCCAGCAAGAGCAGAGCTGAAGAGAAGAAGATGGCACAGTCACGGGAACGTGTTCTGGAGGTAGGTACCCGGCCATGAAAATGGTCTCTCAGTACACCTGACCAGGACAACTTTAAGGCATGTGTCAAATGCAATGAATTGTAATGAGTGCAAGAACTAGGAACAATACTTGGCTTCATTGCTCCTCTCCCTTATGGCGGTATGGTCACTATCCGGTTACAGGAGGACCTTGAGGATCCTTCCCAGAAAAAACATAAGTGATCCCTTTTCTAGACATATGTAGAAAAAGAAAACATGATCTGAGCTGAGAGAAAAAAGCTTTTTGGATGGGAAGATATCAGAGCTTTCGTTAAATTAGGCAAATATCTGAATTATTGTACACATGACCTTAGGGAAGTGTACTTTAGGGTTTAATATTTGGTTTTGACTGGACTGTTCCTTTAAGAACTATCTGTGAGGCTTGAGTTGCAGACAAGTATCCATTCAATGTATATTTACTACACCAAAATAATTGTTCATTTCACCCCAACCTGGCACTGACACAATAATATTGTGGATCTCCTACCTGTTGAGAACGGCATGAAGGCCACACGATTTCGGAACTGGCCCTCCTCATCCAGGAAGTGCCCGGGGTTGAACCGCTCTGGTGTCTCCCATTGAGAGGGGTCGTTAAGCACCGACGTCAGGAACGGGATGATGGTAGTGCCCTGATATAGGAAAGGGAGAGAGACAGAGTCACTGATATACATGAGTACAAATCTCAGCATACAGGTGCCATGCCAATGAGATCATATCAGAGTCTTCCACAGGCACAAATGTAATATCTGACAGTCAATGTCAATATAATGCAAGGAGTGTATAGGAAGTACACAGAGGCCGGGATAAAAATATAGAATTGTTTCTTATTGGCTTTTCTACTCAGAACTATATTACAATTTTACTAAGGTGAATAGTTAAAGAGACAAACAGAGTGAACAGGCTGCATGGAATCTGATCTTGTACAATACTGGCCACCAGAGCCAGAGCTGTAGCTAGCTCCTTTTGCACCCGAGGCAAGAACAGAAAATTGTTCCCCCCCACAGACGTGTTATGTCACCCATCGCTGTGCGCGCAAGGTGTCATGTGACGTCATGCGCCCCGCCTCCAGGATGGCGGAGCGCATGCGCAGAATGCGCTGCTGGCCAAATCCATATAGCATAAAAAATTGTTTCATTTGCCGAAACTAAAGAAAACATTTTAGTTTCCGTTCATTTAGTCCGAAACAAAATTTTTAGTCTTTTGCACATGTCTAATAATATGTGTGCATGAGTGTGTGTGGATGGTTTTTTTGCACTGTTGGGGGGGCTTCGGGACATATTAGGGGGTCTAAACAGACCCCTGACATTTCTCTTTTGACGTGAAAAAGAGATTGAGGACACAAAGCACTCTGCCCATACAGGCGGGGGAGAGCAGCGGGGATCCGAGGAGAAGCTAGAGCCTGTGCTGCTTCTCTTCTCCCTGCCGAGCCGCAGCTGTGTTGGCCGCCTGGCGCCCCTGTTGCCACTGGCGCCCTGTGCTCAACAGGAGCGAGGGGGCACAGCCAGGCTTGCCCTGGCTATGCCCCCTCTCAGCTGCGCCTGAGACGAGTGCCTCACTCGCCCCATGGTAGCTTCAGCCCTGCTGGCCACTGTGTGACCTTTCTTCACAGATGGTAATCAGGGCCGGATTTACTCTCTCTGCTGCCCCCAAGGCCAGGTTCCTCAATGTGCGACCAACCCCCCCCCCCTTCCCCATGGAGAATGGCAGACCTGCAGTTTGCAGGCTGCTTACAAGTGATCTCAGCAAAATCGCTGAGATCACTTGTACAAAACAAGCGGCGGCTTCCCCGCTGTACATTTAGCTCTGCTTACCCAAAGCAGGGCTAAATGTAGAAAACAACTACTCGCCTGGCGCCCGGAACTGCATTTCCCAGGCATCGGGAGATTGGAATTCCACACCCCTGCTGCCCCTCTACTCCCTGCTGCCCCTTGGCTGACTTTGCAGGAAATCCGGCCCTGACTGTAATTCTTTCCAGCCTCGTGATTGTGTTAAAATGTATCTTATAGTGATAATGGGACCACCTGTACTCCATACAGTGTTGAGATCTTTCAGAATACGGTGGTGCTTGTAGTGACAACAACGGATGGTGCCATGTGACCGGGTCACTGTGTTACCCTGAGGAAGGGACCCAGCGTGACCCTGAAACGTTGGCTTATTATGAGCTATGTGACGTTTTTGCAATAAACTGGATTGAGTTTGCATCCTGAACCTGAGTGTGCTGGTGACTTACATCCCATGTATCTTACCCACCATGTATCTTATGACATCAGGAGGTGAACCTAGTAATCAAAAAAAATTATATATGGTGGAAAAATGGCCATGGTGAGTAAAATGCTCACCTCTTACCAATCCGAGATAGTGTTTAGGTAAGCCTAAACAACACGTGTATACAGGCAGCATCTGATGAGCCTAAAAGGGAAACTGTTATAAGGAAGCTGCCATTGCTGACCCTGATGGTGGTCTCCTTAAAATTGACGTGTGATGAGGTCCAAAGTTCATGAATTTGGAGATCCTGAGCTGAATCTGAATATCAGTGTTATTTTGGGCAGTTTAGGTTCTGGAAGAAGGAAACCAATGGCTGTTTCTGCCTTCTGTCTCCTTCTGGTGATGTCTGAGCACTCTAAGCTTGACTGCCAGTCCCACCAGGTCCCCCCTTCTATCTTGATATCCCTGGTAGGACTTCCCAGGCTGTCCCAGGCTGTTTCTTTGTCACCATCACCTCATTAGTTTCCCAAAACCATTTTTCAATTTTGAAACCAGTTTTGGTTTGTAGCGTCAAATGGCAGGATTGTGAATTGAACTCCGCACTTTGTTTAATGGTCCAGATATATCTTGGGTTGAGGGGTAGACATGTGCAATTCGTTTAGTTCCGAATCAAAATTCGGACGAATATTCCCAAATTCAGACACATCCGAATTTCCAAATCCCTATGCATCCAAATGGGTCTGAATACGAATTTCCGCTTCCGAATTTCGGATTCCGTCCCAATTTCGTTGAACAACTAGATTGAATCGGACGTGTGACTTTTCTGGCCAACCAGATGCGTTTTTCGGTTTAATGCATCCGAATGGGTCTGAATCCGATTTTTCTAATTGCATTCGGGAGCTCCCGAATGCCATTGGGGTCTGGGAGCCTCAGCTTTAGTTTTGTGTATATATGGGTCACAATGTTGCCGCTATGAATATTCATTCGTATTAGAAAATACGACTTATATATACATAATACTAAAACTGAGGCTCCAAGACCCGAATGGAGTCCAAATTTCCAAATAGCATTCGAGAGCTCCAAAATGCCATTTGAGTCTGGAAGCCTCAGCTTTAATATGGCTCCCAGACCCGTATTGCTTTCTGGAGTTCCCAAATGGTGCTCAGAAATTCAGACTCCCGAATGTCATTCGGGTCTAGGAGCTTCAGCTTTAGTATTAATATCTGTATATGGTTTTCTGTGGTATTCGCAACGAATATTTGTAAACTCATTCGAAAACTAACGGAAGTTCGGAATTCATCCACATTTGAAACCTGAATCGAATTGAATTTCGGATACGAATCCCAAAATATCTGAACCAAATTTTTCTGGAGATTATATGTCTATTGAGTGGGTAGTATAGCGATAGCCAGCAGGTTTCGAAGACTCATACAAACACCCCCTTCATCAGAACTTACTAAGGGAGAACTGTGGTGACTCGAATTTGGATACCACCTGTATGACAAATGTTCCCTCATCTCTACATCTACAGTGTTGGGCCATATGTAGTGCAACGTGGGTAAGTGTCCACCTTTCTGTGCCCATTCTCCCTCATCCTACAACTTCTCATTTCGATGTAGAGTTCATCGATTTTTGATTTTCGTGTTTATGTTGAGCTCTGTTACATCTCCATTTCACATTCTACAACGCCTGGCACATATCACAGACGTGTACCTTCGGGATGGTGTATCCGCGGAAATGGACATCTTTGGTGACGGCATGGAAGAGGGCGGTTGACACCAGGTCGAGGATCCTCTGTATTTCATGGATGACGGCGTTGGTGTACGGCATTTGTGGTTTGTCTCCGAACCCAGGGGCCCGCAACGACTGGGTCACCTCATCAATTTCTTTCTGGACCTTCACTGAAAGGTGAAAGCAGCATTTCAGGTTATGGGTGCAGATGTTCCAGAAGCAGATTTCATATGTTTATTGCCTGTAAAAGGAACCCAAAACCTTATGCTGAAGACAGCTTGTTGGGGGTTTAGTGACCGAATATATATAAGTCAGTGCAGGGGCGTAACTAGAAATCCCAGGGCCCCATAGCAAAATTTTGTATGGAGCCCTATGACTTCTAGTTATGCCCCTTGCAGAGCCCACTTGAGATCCCACGCAGCCCACCTGAGGGTGACCCTGCAGAGCCCACCATAGACTTCCTATGGTGGGCTCTGCAGGGTCACCCTCAGGTGGGCTGGTCGCACTCCTTGCCTGTCCGCCTCCTCTTCCTACCAACTGCCGGGTCCAGCCTGCTACACCGCCGCTGCTGGCTCTCATTAAGGCTGGGTTCACACCTAGGCGTATTGAATATGCGCGTTTGTCACGCGTTTCATGCCGTGCGTTTTTACCGCGATTCGCGTTAAAAAAAACACGCGACAAACGCGCGTTTCCGAGGGTTACCTGGCTGTATCCCAATGGATACGCGCGGAAATACGCCCCAAAGAAGCTCCTGTACTTCTTTGGGCGTAGGGCGTTTTGCAGCGCGTTCCTACGCGCTGTAAAACGCCCAGGTGGGAACCATGCCCATAGGCAATCATTGGTTTTCACATGTTGAGCGTTTTACAGAGCGCAGGAACGCGCTGTAAAACGCCCAGGTGTGAACCAGGCCTAACTCCGCAGCGGCTGTGAGAAGAACGCGCTGCTGCACAGATCACTGTCAGTGATCTAAACAGCAGCACATTCTTCTCACAGCCGCCAGTGAAAGCCACCAGCATAAGATGCCATGGCGACCCAGGCGGCCTGCGTGGCATCTGGCCGGGCCCCCCTGTGCCAGGGCCCCATAGCGGCCGCCTGGGTCGCTATGGCGTATGTTACGCCACTGAGTCAGTGAGTCAGTTCACTCATCAATGATGATTCTCTTTATATTCCTACTTATGATAAAACATAAAAAGGGTTTAACAAAGACCAGTCTCTTGCAGTTATAAATCCAGTACAACACTTAGGGGTTTATTTATAAACAATTTGCAATTGATTTTCTTTTAAGACTGAATGTAATGTAACATAATACTGCATTATGGACACTCGGTGCTGCTGAGTAGCATAGGAAATAAGTATATCCTATGCTCCTCAGCTCCATCTAGTGGCCATTATGCAGGATCATATTACATTACATTCAACCTGAAAATAAGACATACTAAGAACTAGGGATGCACTGATACAATTTTTCCGGACCGTGTATGAGTACCGATACTTTTACTCAAGCACTTGCCAATACCAATTACCCATACCTTTTTTTTAGTGTCATGTGACAGTTTTTCTAAAACAATACAGGCTAATGATTTTAGGACAGTGGTGGAGCACCAGGGCCCTGTGACCCTGGTACTTCTGTTACTGACTCCAAGCTGTAGAGGGACTACAAATCCCAGCAATACATTATACAGCAATGCAGAATACCACCAACTATAGAGGACTAGAAATCCAAGCAATACATTATACAGCAATGCAGAATACCACCAGCTATATAGGACTAGAAATCCAAGCAATACATTATACAGCAATGCAGAATACCACCAGCTATAGAGGACTAGAAATCCCAGCAATACATTATACAGCAATGTAGAATACCACCAGCTATAGAGGACTAGAAATCCCAGCAATACATTATATCCCATCTCCATCAATTATCTCCAGGGCAGCCACTTAACAACTAGCCATCTTCTGCAGCTCTGTGTAGTTGTTGTGTGGTCCCAAGTATCAAGATTTTGCTTTACTAAAGAGGTAATAGGTATGGACATTTGGTGGACCACGGAAATTGAAGAAGTGGCCTACAGATGCCAGGAAACACGCCAATGAGCAGATATAGAATATTGTTAGGTTCTCCGTCTTCAATGTATACGTGAAGGCAAATGTTTTTCTTTTCTGTTTTGGATAGAGTAAGGAAGGGTTCATAACCCTTTTTTTAATCTATCTGTGTCCCTTTGGAGATCACTAAGTACACTTTCAGTTCCACAAACATGGCAGGAAGTAAGAGTAGATCCATCAAAATAAGGGAAGACAGCTGTCACAATAACATTGGAAGTTCCCCCTTGTTGCAGTGACAACATTTTGGATTTCCCACCTTCTATCTCAGTGCCAATGGTTGCCAGGACAAATAGAGAGGGTGAATCTCCCCATCGGAGACACAAGGTGGCAATAAAAACCCAATTGGGGGTCTAACCCTTCAGATTTGTAAGAATAGACACTAAGCGATGATGATCAGGAAGTTACTCTGATGAGAGAGCAGATGTTGTTTCCGTGTGGTGGACCCTTACCCTGGACATCGGGATGATGGGCTATGAAGACCAGGCAGAATTTCAGGGTTGAAGCGGTAGTCTCAGAACCCGCAGATAACAGTGACACCAAAACAGTCAGGAGACTCATGTCACAGAAATCCGGATCCTCTTCGTGCTCCACCTGTGAAGATGGAGAGAGAAAACACTCATCAGATGAACCGGGGAAATGGGAAATAAGTGTAAACTACATCCTACAACAGGGCTGCAAGATTAAGAGGCTCGATCACACGCATGTGTGCGCATTAACCTGTGTTTTTGACATGCATGGGCTTATATGCATTTTTGTACATTTTATATTAAAGTGTGTACAGTTTTTTTTTTTTATATATGCAAAGTGACTGCGGAGAAGAAGAGGAGATGCGAAGGGATGAGAGGAAAAAGAGAGCAGAAGAAAAACGGGAGGAGAGAGAATGTAAAAACAGAGAAGAAAGGGGAGAAGCGCAGAGAGAGACGGAAAGGGGAAAGGAGAGAGAGTGGAAAATAGTGCAAGAGAGGAGAAGAGAAGAGTGAGGAATGCAGAGAGGAGCAAAGTAAAGAGCAGGGAGAGGAGAACAGAGGAACATGTGGAGGATAAAAGAGTTGGGGACAGGAGGGAAAAGGAGGTGAGAAAAGGGAAGAGAGAAAAGAGAGAAGGAAAGAGCAGAGGGGAGCTGCGAGGAGACAAAGATATAGGGCAGGAGAGGAGAGAGGTGAGACAGGAGGGGAGAACAGAGGAAAACAAAGAAGAGGGAGACGTGGAATGAGGAGTAAAAAGGAGAGGAGAAAGGGGAGGTGAGCAGAGAGAGAGGGAAAGTGGAGAGGGGAGAGGAGAGAAAGCAAAGCATATTACAGGAGAGAAGAGAACAGGGAGAGGAAAGCAGAGGAGAACTGGGAGGAGACAGTGTTGGAGAGAGGAAAAGAAAGGAGAGGAGAAAGGGGAGGAGTGCAGAGGGTAAGAGCATGGAAAGATAGGGGAAGATAGGGCAGGAGAGAAGTATGAGAAGAGCAGGGGATTGAGAACAGAGGAAATGAGAGAGGACTGAGACTTAGAATGGGGTTGAAAAGTAGAGGTGAGGAGAGCAGAGAGGAGGAGAAGAGGTGAGAAAAAAGAGGTGAGGGCAGAGGAGAAGAGAGGAGAAGAAAGGAGGTGTGAGGTGAGAAGGGGAAAGGCGAGAAAGGGGGCTAGGGCAGGAGAGGAGAAAAGAGAAGAGTGGGGAGAGGAGAAGATAGAAAATGGGAAGAAGAGAGAGTTGGGGAGGGGAGCAAAAAGAAGAGGAGAAAGGGAAGTGGAGCAGAGAGAGAAGGAAAGTGCAGAGGGGAAGTTTATAGAAAGATAGGGGACGATAGAGCCGGAGAGGAGAGATGAGAGAGGAGAGCAGGGAGAGAACAGGGGAAATCAGAGAGGACAGAGACTTGGAAGGAGGAGTGGAGAGGAGAACGGGGAAGAGAGCAGAGAGAGAGAAGGAAAGAGGAGAGGAGAGAGGGAAGTATCGGGAGGTTTGGGCAGGAGTGGACATGACAGAGGAGAGCAGGAGGGGAGAAGACAAAGGAGAGTTGAGTAGATAAGGGGCAAGAGAGGATGGGGGCGGAGAGAGGAGAGTGATACAATAGATTTGGGTAGATTATATTTCACTATATATTTTTCTCACTCACATAACACTTACATATCTATCAGGGTTCGCTGAGTATACAGAACCCTACAGAACCATTCACAGTAATCCCCAAGTTTCAGTGCAAGGAACCAGAATCTCATCGCCATCCTATGATTGGCTGCTTCATGGCGGTAAACGGGGCGCTTACAAAAGACACTTCATTGTACGCACCTCTTTTATCTTCAGCAGGAAATAATCAATTAAATCTCGGGGGGCCTCAGGCTTCAGGGAGCGTTTGTGCTCCTCAATGTACTTTAGCACAAATTTCTGCAGGTAGGACTGTTCCTTAAAGACGATCTTCGGTAATACTGGCAGCTTCAGAAGGAACGGGAAGACATTGCAGAACTGACCGGTGGAGACACAAGGAGAAAACAATTAATATCTACCCAGCACTCAAGGTATAATAATAAGTATTACCCCAAACCTCAATCTAATCCCTAACCATACAACTAAAATTAATACCCTAAATCTACCCGTTACACATGGGCTAACCCATAATCCTAACCAGTCACCTCAGTTGATGTTGGTTATGTGTTTAGATGAAGCACTGAGATCTTGAGGAATGTTGAATTAGGTTTTACTTGCTTAGAAGAACATTACATGTACAGTATAAAGGAATACAGCACTGGTCAGGAAACATATATATAGAAGAACTTCCCGTGTATCATAGATAAGCACGCATATAGAAAACTAACATTGCACTACACTGCTATCTACAGCTCAAAAGGCAAATTGCAGTCAGTAATGCAATCAGTACATATTATTATTATTATACAGGATTTATATAGCGCCAACAATTTGCGCAGCGCTTTACAATATAAGGAAGACATTACAATCACAATACAATTCAAGACAACATGGTAAGGACGGCCCTGCCCATGAGGGCTTACAATCAGAATATGAGCTTGCATTTCCAACACTTTAATCCCTAAACCCAACCAATAAACTCAGTCCAAATCCTAAATGTTACTGTTTACCCCAGCCTAATGTGCAACCTAACCAATTAGTTCACATTATACCCTAAACCAAAACATGAACATAACTCTAACCAGTCTATTCACTATATCTAGCCATTAATCGTAATCTCCTAACCTATTATTAGTCTAAACTCTTATCCTAACCATTAACCTCACTCCAACTCCTAATCCCATTGTCTGTACAACCCCTAATCCTAAACTTTAAACTCAATTTATAGTATTACTTTTTGCACCTTTAATAATAAAGCTAACATATAATCAGATTCCCCTACACAGATTTTGATGATTAAATACGATAGGGGGAGGGAAACTGGAAAAAATTAGCATCTTATATAACCCATATAAGAAAATATTGTAAAATATGCTACTGGATTCCACTGGTGACTAGGTATACCAGTGACGTGACCAAGCCATCCACAGAGCTCAAGCCTCTAAAGGTGGCCATACATTGTACAGTAAACGTACGATCTGCCCATCTAGGACAGGCAGATCGTACTTGCGATCATCGCAAGCCCGCCCCTAGGGACGGGCGTGTTTCCGATGACCGCAATGTTGAACGGGCAGTGTGCTCGTGCCAAAAATCCTACGATTTTCGGCTGGTTTTCGAACATGCTCCTTAGACAAAAGACGTGCGACCGTAAAGTAGAAACGGTCGCACGCCTTCCATGCACTTTGAGATTATCGTACGATCGCGGGATTTACCGCGATTGTCGTACGATAATCGCACAGTGTATGGGCACCTTAACTCAGAGTAGAGGCTGTGACAGCTCTTGCCTCACCAAGTTAGGATTCACAAGCAGTGGGGAAGCCCACTGCTGTGTAACCTAACTACCTATCAAAAGCCGGATGCGTCACTGCCTGTAATTATAAGTCAGGGCTCCGTCCATGACAGGTTACACAGCGGAGAGGCTTTCCCTGCTGTGTAACCTGTAACAAGCCGCTCTGAATGGAGAAAAAGCTCTGCCTCACCTGCCTCCCCTGACCGCAGGTCCCTGAGGTATCTCATTCACTAGTTCACCCCTCAATAAGGAAGACAACCTGATGGCCTACTGTGCTGCCACAGCTATTGTATGAAAATGTTAAAGAATGCATAGTCATGGTTAATATTTAAATTATTGTGAATTGAGTATTTATATTGTTAATAATGCTACCATATAAAGTATAATGTGTAGTATAGTTTGCTCATATGCTGTCATCTTGTGGTCATTTTATTTATTGCACCACCTTTTCTGTGTTCCCTCCTATTTTATGATATATTTCCTCCTTCTTCTCCATATGAGTATTATTCAGCCATATTGCTGACCACATGTCCTCTTGGCCACATGTTCACTCTGAAGGAAGGCATTACCCTTTTTCGACCTTCAAATTCCGTCTTTTCAACCATCTGCTACATCCTATTGTCTGCTGTAACCTGCTACCTTCAATAAAGACCTTGGTGGATGAAAAGGTATTTGGTGAGTCAGGTGGTCTGCGGTGAATGTATCTGATTGTATCTGCTCATACAGGCCAGGAATAGAGGTCTCAGGAAGGGAAAGCTCACTATTTCAACAATTGGAGTCAGAATGCCTACCATATTAAATGGGGACAAAATACTTCTTCCGTGTCGGGAGATGTGAGACAGCAGATCATGTAACTTCGGGTCATTGTAGTCAAAATGTTCTCCAAACAACACTGAGCTGATAACATTCCCAACAGCGCTGGCCAAGATCAGAAGTGGATTGAACGGTTTTCCTGAAATAAGAAAAGTGTATCTAAACCCGAAAACAAAAAAATGATGATATATTGCATTTATTAAAAGACGATGGACAAGGCTGACACCACTCCATCCACAAAAATGATGTGTGTTGTCAGGCCGCAACAGGGCTTAAGAGGTAGATGCATTTCTGGCAGATCAACTGGTATTTTTTTGCAGTTGCAAGGTCTTTAAAGGCCTTGATGTACACTTAAAATAGCAGCGGTGCAGGGCACACCCTCTCCCTGCAGTCTAGTCTCCAGCAGATGATAGCAAAACAGTGAAGAGGGCAAACGCAGTGCACTAAAGTGAAATATCCGCAAGATGGAACATAATCAGGTTTTAGGTTCATGTTGGGTCATGACTAGTGACTAACACACCCCCATTTCTGACCCAATCAGTTGTGGCAGATGCATCATCTGCCCCACACAGTCACAACGGCTGCCGTTGATTGCGCCGGGAAGGGGTAGTTACAGTTTTGAGTGGGCTTGGGTGAACTGGGGTGAACTCTGATGAATTGGGTTTGCACCAAGCCCAAGCTCATCACTAGTTGTGACAGATGGGTGCTCAACAAAGTAGCAGGAGACAGACAGTCCCTGGATGAAGCTCAGACTTCCCATGCACACAGCAGTCTGAAGTATCACGTGATACAACAGAGGTTCCTATGTTTCCTCATGTTGGAGACTGCCGCATCAGACCAGTAGAAGTTCTAGTATAGCTATTGTCCTCAGCTCTTCTATTCCTCAGCAGAATCACCATGGGTTAGGACCTTTTCCTTTAAATAGCTCATTGTGGCCCCAGAGGGCCATGGGTCTCAGGGCCTGGGCTTTGGCCCAGAATCTCAGACTCAGGCAATAGCCGGGAGATAATAACCCTTCCAGAAGCTCGCTCAACATATTGGATAAAGCAAAGTCCAGCTCACTGATGATGAGCTCATCAGGAATTGGCCAACAATCATGCATCTCTGGCTCAACCTTCTGGATTGGTCAACAGAGTCCAGCAGATGATGCAACACTGGAAGCTCCTGAGCACAGCCTGCTGGAGGAATCCCTGCAAGACTGTAAAACCGGAAACAGGAAGTGACTTTAATCCCTAGAGTTATTTTACTGATTCAAAATGCAATAAAACATTTTCACCTGATAAAAATCATTTTCTCCCACCTTCCGTCTTGGCCACTTCCTGGGTGACATAGTTCGCCTCCTGGAGCACACGGGATTCCATGGTCTTTTTCCCCATACCAAAGGTCCTCAGAGACGATATGGCGAAACGGCGCAGAGAACGCCATCGGGGGCCACTAATGCCTGCAGTAAATAATCAGCAGCAATGGATTACGGACCGCTGCACAGACCATAAGACATGCCAACTTACATCCACAATCTACATCAGGCCGTTCTTTACAAAGCAGAGGAAAGCAGCGAGGACTTGTTTCCACCACAATGCAAATTATAACTTGTGTCCCAACATGGGTTATAATGCACATTACCGTAACCCACTGCAGGTGTGTTGCGGTACATTGCCGTTCATTGTTAATTGCGCAATGCCCCACAATGCACAGATGCAAAGTACACAATGGGGAGCTTTTTAGAACAGGACCTATTTTTTTGGGGTTAAGGTGAGGTTATGTAGACCCCCCAACAGTCCTGGATTTCAAGGGACTGTCCCTCAATTTGAGGAAGGTCACAGGGGCTTTGTGGAGATGCAATGTGCTCTGTTGTGATGTACTGTGTTGCTCAAAATTGTTTTGTTGAGTGCATTTTCTCTGCCACCTGTAATGCACTGTTGTTGTAATGCACTGTTTTCCTTGAGACACCTTTCTTATCCATTGTAATCAGACAGGATATCCTCATTTTTTTGGTAGATATTTGGTAGCAGAACTGTGAGCGGCCAAGTTCTTTTGAGCAGAAGGAGAATGTAGGGATGTAATATTTTTCATCACCCTGTATTCACATCAGGTCAAACAGTGGCAGAGCTACCAGGGTTGCAGAGGTCGCAGCTGCGACCGGGCCCTGGAGTTCCGCCACTCAGAGTCGGCCCAGGACAGGAGGGCCCCTGGTAACTGCTGATTACCAGGATATTTAATATTCCGGTAACCGCTAATATCAGTACCGTGGCCTCTTCCTCCTGTCCTGGGCCCTTCGTGCTTCACGCTGCTCCCCTCACCTTGTTGTGGCTGGGTGCAGCGTGAAGTATGATCGAGCCGGCGCAGCAGCCAATGAGTTCAAAGCAGGGCTATTCCTGCCCCTCTCATCACACAGAATGGCTGCCGACCATATAGCTGCCTGTGTGCTATCGTAAGCTTCAACTCCCTGGGTATGAGAAGCCTGCTGCGGACATGAAGGGGGAGATATAGAGAGCTGAGAATATGAAGGGGACATGGGAGAGGAGAGTGTGGGGTCAGGGAGCTAAAAGCTGGGGACGTGAAGGGGGAGATGGGGGGAAGCTGGGGACATGGAATAGGAGAGTGTGGGGTCAGGGATAGGAGAGCTGGGGTAATGGAGGAGGTAATGGGGACATGAAGGGGGAGATAATGTGGAGCTATAGACATGGAAGAGGAGAGTGTTTTTTTTTTTGTCTAAAAAATATTTTTTAAAACAATGTATTTAATTGTTTTTCTCTGGGGGGGCTTCATGGATTCCTGCACGGGGCCCTGAGGTCACTAGTTACACCTCTGAGGTCAAACATAGTCATTGCTGCATTTTGCATTTGAATGCCTGCACTTGAGGAGCATTGTGTTCAAACGAAAAAGGTAGAGATCATCAACAGCGCCATTACAACCCTCGGAATTACTGTACAGGACATTTCCCTATAATGTACAATAGAGCATGCTGAGAACTGACAACCTTACCATATCCCTTGGAGGGGATGTGCAGCGTGGGTATAATTGGGCGGGCACTGAACTCCTCGGCCTGGTTCAGCAGAGCGTCCCTTACCGTCTCATAACCACAGATGACCACCACCGGCTCCGACAGCTTCCAGATGGTGAAAATTGAGCCGTATTTGTGGCTGAGCTAAAAAAAAACAATGAAAGTCAGAGGTCAATAATGACAGAAATTCTCCTGTTGGTGGAACTGAGAATAAAAAGATAAGATGAACCCACCAATATTACATAGATAGATGTGTCACAGCCACTTTGTTGCCCTATGCAGCAAGGAGAACCTGTATATGTATTGGGCAAAGATGGCTGCCCCCATGCACATAAATGGAGGGGCGTGTGAAATACTGATAGTCAGTGGTGAGATATGGCAGGATGTCAAACCAATTTCTAAGGATCAATGGCTCTGGTGAGGATCCAAGTTCACTCCTAGGATGGACTACAATCTCAATACAAATTAATAAACTAAACATGAGATTGTAGTCCATCCCGGGAGCGAGCATGTAGCGGTGGCTACTTTACAACACACACAGGGACCATGGGGAACAAAAGTAGTCACCCTCCAGAAGGAAGGCTGCACCAATTCAGAGATGATTGGAGGATCTACAGCCGAGTGATACACAAATAAGATACATTGTTGTTCATATTTAAGGTACTTTTTAAGATTTAGTATCACTTTAAATATAAATGTAACTTGCTTTAATATTTTTTTTGTGGGTATTATATTTGATGTAGTCCAAGCCGAGCATTGTGAGCTATTTAATATGGACATATGCCAAGGATTTGTTTTGGGACTCAAAACTTATTTAAAGAAAAACATTTTGCTAGGTTTATTTTTAACTTCAAATATTTATTTCTCTCTTGTGTGTTTCCGTATCTGTGTTTGTACAATTACAGGAAAGGTATAAAGTCTAGAGTTGGTGTTTGTGAAATATGGTGGGCGTCCAGATCCTGTTGTTCCTGGCGCACTCCTAAACGGGTTCATTGGGACAGAAGTGAATTTGGCGACGGGATTCTCATAATGGTAATAATTAGGTATGTTCAGATACCAAGTACCGTACTCAGTACAAGTACAAGTACAGATACTTTTCCAGCTCCAAAAGTAGACTAGAGAAAAACTCAGAGGTTAGGAGGCAGCTGTCATTTTTAAGGAACATACAGGCAGGGCCGGATTTACTCTCTCTGCCCCAAGGCCAGGTTCCTCAATGCACCCCCCCAACCCGCCAA